AGGGCGACAGCTTGAGGCTCTGTCTCAAAAAAAAAAAAAAAGTTTGAGGTTGCTGTGAGCTGTGATGCCACAGCACTCTACTGAGGGCGACATAGTGAGACTCTCTCAAAATAAAAGAAAAAGAAAAAGGGCCTACATCTTAGTGAGACACTCAGGATATGCGTGGCACATTGAAGTTTGAGAACACTACTAACCTATTCAATATTTACCCAATTTTTACCTTTCTAAGATCCAAGCTCCCAAAAGTTCAAAATGCACTGCCTTTGTATTTGTTCAGTACTTAAAGCTCTTTCCTTAAAAGCTCGTGTATCAGCTAAAACTCCAATGGTGGTCATGAAGAGGGCAGGGGAGAGAGACCGAGGGCTGGGAGCCAGTAGAGGGAAGGACATGGCCACGACCTCAGTAAACCATGGCCGAGACCAGCTAGAATCCAGATGTCTGGAGGCTCTCACAACCTGGGTACCCTAAGGAGTCTGGGGCTTCTCCCTCAGACATTCCCTGGGACATTCTTTACTTCTAAAAGATACCACCACATGTTGACCTCTGACAGGTGGGGGACAGTAGGAAATGCCCTTGTGTACCTTGCTGTCTATCCAGGAGATCCAGGCCCCCTGGCCCCAAAGAAAAACAGGGCAAGCAGGGCTGTGCTGGAACCAAGGCCATGCCTTGCTATACCCCTGCACCCCACAACTCACCTTGCCATAAGCCGTCTTAAAAGACAGGAGGACCTGCTGCCGCTGCTTGTTGGAGCGGCTGCCCAGGCAGTCGATGATGGCCTGTTCATCCGTCCCTGGAGGAGAGGTGGGAGGGCAGGATTGGGGCCACAGGGTGCTCTGCTGCTCTGGACTCTGCTGGCATTCTAACCACACCCCATATCCATCTCTGCTACCATCACCCCTGGGGCCTGCTTCCCCCACCACAGAGCCACTGCAAAACTGCCTGGGAAATAAGGGGTAGGATTTGAGCCCCCTGGGGTCTCTTACCAAAGCCTTTCATGGCCTTCCGTAGGACCTCCGCATCTCGCAAGGGGTCAAAGCCAGAAGCATCTGTGATGGTCCCTCGGTTTCCAAACTACTTAGACAAATAGTCACAGGTAAGATGACTTGCACACTGCCTTCCCTAGGTATAAGACTGCCCAACCCCCAGACTCTGGGAACCATTTCTCCAACAGCTGAGGTACCCAAGGGCACACACTATCACCAGCGCAGAGGACTCTTCATCCAGTCTGCCTACCTTGACTGCTACCTGGCCTTGTGTTCTGGCTCTGAAGCTTCTGTCCAGCTCACGGGGATGGGGACCCACCTACATTTGAGTCCTGATCTGAGCATTGGCCCTACACCCAGGTCCTTCAGGACTGGGGCCCAGAGTCCTGATGAAAGGCCAGCCTCAGGAACAGAAGCTGTGGCCTTCCCAGGCATGTGTGAGCAGGGCACTCCTCATGGGCCTGGCCAGTGCACATGTCCTCTCCAGGCAGACTCAGGTATCCAACCTTCCTAGCCATACACAGCAGCCCCAGTGCTTCTCAAGACCGGCACCAGTTCCCTGGCACGATCCCCTAGTCTATCACCCCCTGATTTCCTGCAGACCCCAACAGCTGTGCCAATGAGCAAGCCTGAACTTCCCAGGCTGAACTGTCTGCCAGTGGACTGACTTCTTGTTGGCCAATACAAACTGGTCACCACATGGCCACACAGATAAGCTCAGAGGAAAGATGAGGGAGGGAGGATGGAGTAGGGGACTGTGTGGCAGTGCAGGGAGGAGGAAAGGGGACCCTCAGTCTAAAAATAGTCATCAAGCACATACCACCAGCCCTGCGCTTGGCTGGCTGGGCCATGTAACCATGACAATGAATTCTAGGCTCTGCAAACATGGGACTGTTCTCCAAAATGAGCCAAGATCCATCCTGGGGGAACTGCCAGCAATTTTCCCTACCCAAAGATTTTAAGATTCCTCCAAAACCTATCTGGGAGGGACTATCAAGGGGACTAAGACTAAGAGCTGCTGGGCATAAAGTCTTGGGCCCTGTGGCCTGGGCAGTAAACGCCACAGGAGGAATGGTGAGTGGAATGGAGCTGACACAACATGCGTGTGGAACGTCTAACCAAGCCGGGAAAAACAGGGCAGCTCCCCCAGGAATTAAGGAATGCAAACCAGGGGTGGCAGCCTGGGAGAAAGTGATACTCTTGCTAAAACTGGAAACTGTAGTTGGAGGCCTGAACCTTCTCTCGTCTTCCCACCCAATGGGTCACATGTCTCCAGGATTTGGGGTCCAGGCCTGGACCAAGGGTGGCACTGGGCTGGACTTACCTGGGCTGGGGCCACAGCAGGGGTAACAGTCCCAGATCCTGAGTATCCTGGGTAGCTCGGCACTGGCTGCTGCTGCTGTGCAGGGGGTGGCACTGGTAGTTGCCCAGGGTAGGTCACTGGCGGCTGTCCAGGGTAGGCCCCTGGGGGTTGCTGCCCAGGGGGTGGCATGGGCTGGCCTGGCACAGGTGCCCCTGGGTAGGGTGGATATGAGGGCATCCCAGGGGGTGGGTTTCCTCCAGGGGGTGGGTACATCCCATATGGAGGAACAGGCTGCTGAGCAGAGGGGGGCTGCCCGAATCCCCCAGGTGGTACTGGTGGGTAACCACCCCCAGGGGCCCCAGGGTACAGGTTGGGCATGTTGGCTCCTCCAAACGTCCCAGACATGTTGGCCGCCTGAAAATATACAAAGCAGAGAGCCTAAGACTAATGGGCCCAGCTGGGCCCAGTGCACTCTATCCATCTGCCCTTTCCTGACCTGACCCCTGCACAGCCCCCAGAATCTCACTCAAAGCTCCCTGCCCCACCAGCACAGCCCCCAGCACCTATGGAAGGCCTTGTCTAGGACAAGCTCTTTCCATAGTTTAACTGATTCAATCCTGATGGTGTCTTCACTTGTGAGTATGAAGTACCATTATCCCTGTTTCACAGATAACAGAATGGATTCAGAGAGGTAAAGTCACTTGCTCAAAGCTACACAGTGCAGTTAGAGCCCTGACTTAGATCTCTCTGGATCCAAACCAGAAATCTTCAACCCCTTCTGCAGGGGAGATGGCCTTCCCTCCCCAGAAAGCTGCTCCTCCCATCCCTGACCACCTGAGTAAAGGGGTCCCAGTCCAGGAAGGGGTCGGGCCTCGTCTGTAGGCATGGGGGTGGCTCCATCACATAGGCCTACTAGCACAGATGACCACTCTGGCAAGTGTGGCTCTGGTGGACTTGCTCTCACTCAGAATACAAGCCTAAACCCTTACCATGATGGCCTCTGACACCCCAGACCTTGTCTCTCTCCTGGCCCCCTCACCTCTCCACTCCAACCACACCAGCCTCCTCCTCATCCCTGGGCACTTCAGGCCCCTGCACTTAGGGGGCTGGGTTCCCTGCACATCAATAACACACACCCCTCCCTGCTGCAGATCTCTGCTCAAATATCCCCTCTCTCAGCAAGGCCAGCCCTGACCCCCAACTTAAAATCATTACCTCACATCCCTCAACCCACGTTTCTGATCCCCCTCCCCTGCTCGCCTTGTTCCCACAGCACCCACACTTCCAATAAAGCACCCACACTTCCAATAACACCCACAGTGGACTTGTGTTGCTATCTACTTCTTCCCAGAGGACGACAAGTGTGACAGGGCTGAGATTTTTGTTTATTCACATATCCTCAGTGCCTAGGAACTGGGCCTGGCACACATTAAGGTGTGTGTCAGTATATAGTTTCTACTAAACATACGTTTGTTTTCAGATATAAAATATATTATTTTAAAAGCAAAACAGTAAATAAAAGTTGCATGTCTTCCCAAGCTACCTGTCACATCCCCACCTAGGCCCAAGGGTAATAGCCCACTGTAGGTACAAGTATACACACACATGTGCAGGTGAACACTTGTACATGGCACATGTATGTACGCTCATACATACACACAAACACACACGAACACACCCTTCCACACTCCTAGCCCTATGCTGAGCTCACAAACAAGGCCCTCAATGAATGCTCGACAAGGGCACCACACCCTACCCAACCCTGCAAAGCTAAAGGGACCTGGAAGACTATCCAGTCCAAACAATTCCCCTCCCCCCCATTATACAGACAGGAAGAAAGACCCAGAGAGGAACAGTGAGCAGGTGGCAGAACCCTGGTAAACATCCAAATGTTCTCAGGTACTGCTTGGCACACTCACATCCCAGCAGACACACACAGACACTCTGGAGCCCAGAGAGCCAGAGGCCCCCATCCCTTTGGTCGCCCCAGGAGCAGCCTCAGCAGCGGGGCTGGACTCACCATTCCTGCGAGGTAGTCCTGGTTGAACTGCCCTGCATAGTTGCCCACATTATCCAGCCCAATGGGAGGCATGCTGGGAGGAGGGTAGCCAGCACTTCCCCAGGCACCACCACCTAGAAGCAACACCAAGCCTTTAGACCCATGTCTGTCCCCTGTCAGGTGGGAAGGGACAGAGACGTAAGCTCCCACACAGTCAGGAAGGGAGGCCGAGCAGGCTTAGGCCTCTGGACAGCACTGCAGGCCACAAGGAGACAGAGGAAGAGAAGAAACCTTCTGCTCTTTCCAGGGAGAAAAGACCCTCTATAAGGTATTAAGGAAATAAAGAGGGCCCAGGGCAGGCTCTGCCCTCCCAAGCTCACTGTCACAGAGAGAGAGGACAGACACAGGATAACTGCTTGGGACACCACACTGAGCCCCTGACAACAGCAAGACAGGGAGTGCTGAGAACTCCCATGTGATGCAAAGGTATGGATGGGGGTCCTCCCAGTTTGGCGATTTGCTATGACAAATATGTAAAAAGGATGGAAAGGCCGGGCACAGTGGCTCACACCTGTAATCCTAGCACTCTGAGAGGCCAAGGAGTATGGATTGCTTGAACTCAGGAGTTCTAGACCAGCCTGAGCAACAGTAAGACCCCGCCTCAGTGCTGGCTACCCTGAGGGTAGCAGCTCAGGCACCCTCAACAGTAAGACCCCGCCACTATAGTCCCAGCTACTTGGGAGGCTAAGGCAAAAGAATTGCTCAAGCCCAAGAGTTTGAGGTTGCCATGATACCACAACACTCTACCCAGGGCAACAAAGTGAGACTCTCTCTCTCTTGTTTGAGACAGAGTTTGACCATGTCACCCTTGGTAGAGTGCCATGGCGTCATAGTTTACAGCAACCTGAAACTCTTGGGCTTAAGCAATTCTCTTGCTTCAGCCTCCCTAAGAGCTGAAACTACCGGTACCTGCCACATCCGGCAGCTATTTTTGTTGTGGTGGTTGTTGTAGTTGTCACTGTTGTTTAGCAGGCCCAGGCCACGTTTGAACCTGCCAGCCCTAGTATATGTGGCTGGCGCCCTAACCACTGAGCAACAGGTGACAAGCCCAGAGACTCTCTCTTTAAAAAAAAATAAATAAATAAAAATTAAAAATTAAAAATCATGGAGAAGCAGGATGAAAGGAGATGGGGCTGGGTCATAGAAAACACTGGTCCACAAGAGACAGGAGGAAACTGATGAAAAGCTAAGCCCTGAACCAGCTAGACGGGTATAAGCCTTAGAGCCAGGTTCTCTCTGTTCTGGGTTCACATCCTGTTAGAAGCATCCCCATCCACAAGTCCAGGACTGTGGGAACTCAGGGCAGATGTTCCCTGATCCCCATCTCTTCTCTCTCTTGCTGCTCAGAGGCTGCTCAGCTGTGCCAGGGAAGGTGGCAGGAGCGGGATTTCTACTGGAGAGAAAAAAGGAGCCCAGTGCTGGCACACCTGGGGCAGGCTCATTCAGAGGAAGGTGCCCTGGGACAGTGGCTGGGCTACCTCCCTGGCTGGACCTGTTTACGTGTAAAATGGGAGGGAGGGTCCAAATGACCTGCAGGCCCTGGGTCCTCAGACTAGAGGAAATGAATGACACCTGAGGGTGAGGGCAGCCACTCAGGCACCCTCAGCAAGACCAGCTTGGGAATGGCCTCGTCTCCCCTGCTCCCAGGAGTCCCCATGTTCCCTTTCCTACCATTGGGGCCAAATCTCACACCAGGAAAACTAGGAAAGTCCTGGCAGAGAAGACAACATCTAGGTGTGAGGAGAAGCCCCACAGCTGGGGCCGGGTCCTGCCCACCTGACTATGTGGTTACAGCCTCACCCCATCAGCCAGCTCCTGGCAGCCACAGCAAGTGACATTTGATTCTTGTGACTGCCTCTTCCTCCTCCCTCAGCAGGAGGGACCCTCAATGCTGCACAACCAAGCACCATGAGCACAAGGTAGGAGTGACAAGGGGCAATCACTGCTCAGCAACTCTTTGAAGGACATGGTGCCAGAGGCTTTACCGGGCTATGTCATCAGTATCCAGGACAGCCCAGGGAAGGAAAGAACCTTGAAGCCATTTTCCAAAGAAAACAGTCTCAAAGAAGTGAAGGCATGTGCCCTCTGTTGTCAGTGAGTAGGGCAAGAGGCCCAGTCCTGGCCTGGTCGCAGGCCTTCCAGAGCCAGCTTCAAACCCTGTCCTCCCTGGGGCCAGCCCTGCTGGTACTCTTTCTCCAGCCCTACCCCACGTGGCGATCCCTCTGTTCCCACACTGGGCTGGGCTGTGGGGAGGCTGGGGAGTGAGGAAAGTGTAATTCCCACCCTCTCCACTCCTGCCACTGCACACAGGGGCTGTCCACCCTGGCCCCACCCAGACCCCCTTACCTGGTGGAGCTGGTGGGTAGCCGCCTGCTGGCGGGGGATAGCCTGGATAGCTCATGGTCAGATCTGGAAGGAAGAGGAAAGCATGCTCAGTCTCTGCCTGGGAGCCCCACAGCAGGCCTGCAGAGGCAGCATCACAAGGGAACAGCAACTGGGCCCCCGCTGGAGAAGCTGCAGCAGGCTCGAGTCACAGCAGCCCAGTTTACCCTCTCCTGCCAAGTCCTCGAGTTAGAAACCACATCCCAGTGACTTCTGTCAGGCCCACAACCCGGCCCCACCCACAGCTGCAGAAGGAATCACCACCCACGAACCTGGAGGATTCCCTGAAAACCCCTCTGGCCTAAGCTTCAGTAAGCCCACCTCTGCTGACGACACAGCAGAGGACCTGCTCTCCAACCTTGGAACCAAGGAGCACGCTGCCTCATTCTCAGGGCTCCAGTCTGTCTGTATTTGTCTTCCAGGGGAAGCTAGAGCCCCCATGTTCAAGGGCCTAGCCTACAGACCACAGCTGTCCAGCCACCCCCAATGTGGATCTGACCAAGCTACTCTCTTCCTTCTCCAACCTCTGGTTCATCCAGCAAGGGGACCTGCTAAGGTATGGAGTCACTATTCCTAAAGAAGGGCCCTCAGGAGGCTCGTTGGATGCCAGGTAGCAGTCAGGGCAAATGAGGCAGCACCACCCTGTTTCTGAGAGGAAGCAGCGAATGCTGAGAGAGAGCAAGTGACTTGCAGATTGGTCACTAAGGGAGGAGAGAGGCTGGGAACTCAGGGCTCTTGTTTGCTGGTTCCAGGCAGAACACCTGCTCTCACAAAGTCCCTCTGTACCCTGATCCCTTGGCAGTGTCCCATGCCAATTAAACTGCCCAGGAGGGATACAGCCACTCAAAGATCCGTGCCATCTGTCCACTCTCAGTAACAGCAGCTGCAGCTGCAGTGTGCAGGGTTGCCGATGGGGTGGGAGGAAGCCCTTGGGCTCCCTCAACAAACACACCCGCTGGCCCCGGGTAAGTGGCTTCTCCTTACACCAGTGGTTCTCAATCCGTGGGTCATGACCCCTTTGTAACAATGGAAATACATGGCAGCGTTAGGAAGGTTGAGAACCACTGCCTTACACACTGGGTCTCAGACTGCAATGTTCATCAGCATCACCTGGAGGGAATGTTAAAGCACATGGCTGGGCTCCAGTCCCCAGAGTTTCTGAGTCAGCAGAACCAGAATCTGCACCTTGGGTAAGTTCCCAGGCAATGTTACTGGTCCAGAAACTTCACTTTGATAACCATTGTTCTGAACACTTTATCCACCTATGTGCCTTCCTATCTACGCCAAAGAACTGGGCCTGCTATTTTTATGGAAGCTGACAGACTTCCTGAAGATTCCACTGGCCCCTGCAGGGTGGGGCTGGCTCTCAGCCCTGTGGATATGGTCAAGTGTTTTGGTCAGTGGGTGCAGAGGTGACTATAGCAAAGCAATGAGCCCAGTCGCCTTGGAGTGAGCTGGAATTGGCTACCTTTAGTGCAGACCAAAGACCTTTCCCCTTGCATAGCTTTAATTTTCTGAGGCCCTAAGCAAGTGGCAGTTGAGGTTCCCCAGTGATACTGCCTTCAGAGAGGGTGTGACGTCCCTACTGCTAAACAGACGTCCCGAGGTTTAGCACGTCCCTACTGCTAAACAGGCCATCAGCACATAACTCTCCTGGGCCTGCCCATAGCCCGACCCTTCTGCCCAGCTTCTGCCAGACACTCGGACATCACTGGTGAGGAAAGAGCCTGGGGGAAGTGAATGATAAGTAGGCCAGAACCCTTCTGATAGGAAGAACTATCCCACAGGAGAGCAGGGTGAGCTGCCACTGTGTCTCTGATACCTCCCCCTCTGTAGATACCACTCTGACCACCAGAGACCCACTCTGCACTCCTCATCTCCCAGAGGAATGAGGCCCAAGGCTCCATCCACAGCCAGGCAGAGGGAAAAAAAAACCCAAAACAGAAGTTGGATACCAACATGTTCCTCGCACCAAATAAATTTTAGCCAGTCCAAAGATTTCCATGCAAGAAAGAAGTAACCTCAAACTCAAAAGGACTTAAAGTAAAATTTATGCATGATAACAAACAAGTAAGGAAAACAACATAAAGAGAAATGACAAGCTTAGGAAGTTTTAAAGTAAGAAAAAGACCAATAATCATTAGAGAAACTGTCAGATGACAGACAGTTACAAAAAAAGAACTAAAGAAGTCCACCTTCACTAATGTGCTAAAAGAGTCACCAACTAAAAATAGAGACATTGGGCAGTGCCTGTGGCTCAGTGAGTAGGACGCCAGCCCCATATACTGGGGGTGGGAGGTTCTAACCTGGCCCCAGCCAAACTGCAACAGAAAATAGCCAGGCGTTGTGGCAGGTGCCGGTGGTCCCAGCTACTCGGGAAGCTGAGGCATCAGAATCGCCTAAGTCCAAGAGCTGGAGTTTACTGTGAGCTGTGACACGCACTCTACCGAGGGTGACAAAGTGACTCTATCTCTAAAATAAATAAATAAATAATAAAAATAGAGATGTCAATGTTAAAAATGACACAGCTTTGCCCAGCAACCCTACTTCTAGAAATATTTTTCTGCTCGGCACCTGTGGCCCAAGTGGCTAAGGTGCCAGCCACATACACCTAAGGTGGCGGGTTCGAATCCAGCCCAGGCCCGCCAAACAACAATGACGGCTGCAACCAAAAAACAGCCAGGTGTTGTGGCGGGTGCCTGTAGTCCCAGCTATTCGGGAGGCGGAGGCAGGATAATCCCTTGAGCCCAGGAGTTGGAGGTTGCTGTGAGCTGTGATACCATATCACTCTACCCAGGGGACAGCTTGAGGCTCTGTCTCAAAAAAAAAGAAAAAAAGAAATATTTTTCCCAGACACACACACTCACACCTGTGAAATGACAAACGGACACAGATTTTACTGTAGCACTGCCTGTAACAACATTAATTCCATAAACATCCACTAGTGAGGCTGGTTAAATACATCAAGACAGATCCCCACAATGGATACACTGTAGCTATTTTCAAAATGGGCCTCCCTCTATATATGGAGATAGCAAATGACCACCATTATTAATCAAGGTACAATACTGTGTGTATTAAGCTAATTTTAAATAATCCAGAAACAAAGTAGGTGGCTCAGATGTACGTACACATCCCTGGAATGATGCACAAGGAACTGGGTAACACTGGTGTCTCTGCTAGAGAATAGGCGCCCCGTTTATACACACACCCTTTGCACTTCTGCCACATGCATGTACTACTATTTTAAAAACTTTCAAAAGGCCCAATTCAAGTGGGAATTTCCAAGCTCACTTGAGGCCACCCGCTCCTGGCCTCAGAGTTGTGGCTGCTCTTCCAAGAACTAAAGCAAGGCACACAAAGTCCATTCAGTTCAAGGCAGTGCCACGTAGAACCAGAGGGATAGCAGGCCAGCCTCCCCCTGCACAGGGTGACAGCGCTCATTCATGGTGCAGCTTTTAGCCAGCTCCGTGGCAAGAGTCAGCATCTGCCTCCTGGTGAGGAGCTCTGCGGGGAGGACCCAGGTGGAATCCCACCGCATCGGCTGCGGTCCTGCCTCCCCGGGCCCCTCCCCCACCCCAAGACACATTTCTAGTCCTCCCTGCCTCTGAAAGAACAGCCTCATTTTTCCCACAGGAAATAGCTCCAAGCTCCCCATTCTTTATTTTTTGGAACCAAAGGCCCCAGGTGTGGTATAAAAAGCACAGGACAGGACCATCGCCTCCTTCCTCCCTCGGACACAGTTCCCCAACTCCCTGGATGGGTACATGTGGGTTTTCTGGATGAGGAGACCTTATGCAGGTTCCCTTAGGTTCTGGCTGTTGTTCCAGCCTGCTGAGATCTCCTGTGATTCTGACCTACTTCAAATATTTTTGCACTCTCTCGGGTTTGTCTCATGTTCATATATCCACGTGGTAAGTGTGGCAGTTGTGTTCTTCCAAGTACCCAATACGAAAGGGCCAACAGTGGGCACTCCTAAACTGTCACACCGGCAACTCCCTGGCTCGATGTCAGCCACACAGTGCCACTGTGAGTCAGGCATTCAACCAGCTACCCCCATCTAAACACCACATCCCAGCGCCATTTACCCACCGGATGTAAGTGAGAGTTCTTTTTTTTTTTTTTTTTTGAGACAGAGCCTCAAGCTTTCCTCCTGGGTAGAGTGCCGTGGCATTACAGCTCACAGCAACCTCCAACTCCTGGACTCAAGCAAGTCTCTTGCCTCTGCCTCCCAAGTAGCTGGGACCACAGGCGCCCGCCACATCACCTGGCCATTTTTTGGCTGCAGCCGTCATTGTTGTTTGGCGGTCCGGGCTGGGGATTCGAACCCGCCACCTTAGGTGTACGTGGCTGGCGCCTTAGCCGGTTGAGCTATAGGTGCCGAGCCATAAGTGAGAGTTCTAACATCTAACATACAGACCAAGAGCCCTTCCTAATTATCGCCAGGAAAAAAAGAAACACAGCCCAGTACCTGGGGCGGCCTGCCAGTGGACACAGCTCCCAGCACCTACCTCTCTCCTCTCCAACTACCCATGTTCTAGGAGGCTGCAGGCCAGCATGCAACTCCCGGACTCACAGAATCTACATTCTTCTCCCTTTTCTGAAAATTAAAAAATTAGTCAATTGTCCAGTTTTCTGGTAACTTTGGTCTCTGAGTTTTCTCAAAAGAGGCCACCACCAGGGACTGTCCCTGGAAAGAACAAGGCACCCCAGGTCTGCCATATCCAGGCTTGGCAGCACTTTCAGGGACCTCACCTTCCCCTCCCAACCAGGTCTAACCCCCATTCTCCATAAAAGAAGGGAAAACAGTAAATTCTAATGGGTGAATCTGCTTTCTTCTGGCATCCATGAGCTGCACACCTTCCACCATGACCAGGGCTGGGCCCTACTTTTGTCACCCTGTTTGCAGGGAGGCTGGCCTGCTGGCTGCATGGATGAGGGGTGTACTTGACATTGCTGGTACACTCTGACAGGCCAGGGAACACCCCCAGTTCTGTGCCCACTCCCCATCACAGTGCTCTGACACA